CCCGCTCAGAGCCCTGCCAGGTGCCACAGCCCTGCTCCCCCGAGGCACGCCGTATCTCCAGGCGTCTGTTGTTCCATTAAGCTATTTTTAGCAAATATATCCCCCTTAGTTCAGCTGCCGTTATCTGATTAGTTCCTGTAAATATATGAGGAGCAACATCTCCAGGCGTGACTGCGATTCTGAGCAGGCTGTGTCTCCGCACACGCCTTTCCTCCGGGAGAGAAACTTGCTGGAGATGCTCCCGGCCGCGGTGCTCTGAGCTCTGCCGAGGCTCGGTTCGGGGATCAGCCAGTGGAGCACACGACCTTTGGTACAGGATCCGGGAGCACTTCCCGGCTGTACGGAGCCATCTCCTCCGGCGTTGCCCTGATGCGGCGGCGATGAACAGCTGGCTTTGTTTGCTCCGAAACACGGGGCTGCTGATGGAGATTTCCATCCTCTTCGACTGGGGATGGCAGAGGGACAAAGTCCTTGAGCAGTGGGAGGTGCGGGGAGCCGGGGCCGTGCACCCCCTTCCTCCCGGCGGGTACCACCAGGAAAAGCCGCACCACGGCCGTGGCCCAGGGACTGGTTAAAAACCTGCACTGCACTTTGTTCCGAGACCTCAGCCTCTATTGACTGCAGCTGTCCTGGAAAATCAGATTACAGTGCAGAACCGTGGCATCCAGTCTGCTCTGCCGAGGCAGCTCCTCCATCTCCCGGCTGGATCGTCGGAATCGAGGGGAGTGGGATGATGAGCCTCCACCGTGACAGCTTTTCCTTCAGCCTCAGCTGTGTCGGAGGAGCGCTGCAGACCCAGAGCTCCTCAGCATTCCCTGGAGCCTGTGACAGCCGTGCCCATGCCCGAGACTTGGTATGGTAGAAGGGGGATCTCACCCAGGAGCTGTCACAGGAGCTCCTGACCTGGCCCTTCTCCCTTGTCCATGGTCAAATCCATCAGAACCCTGCTGCCTGCTCCTCCTCCTCCCCACGGGATGCTTCAGGGCCCTTAAACAGGGATTAACCATACATTGAAATGCTCCCAAAGGGAAAATCTCATCCATGCCCACAGTGAGCATGCCCCTGAGCATCACCACGGTGTCACCCGAGCTGTGGCGCTGGCCCCAGGCTCTCTGGGATGCTGATCCCTGCCGCGTCAGCTGTCACTCCCTGTGCCAGCGTTGTCACTTATTCCATCTTCACCATGTGCCTGCCCGGCTTCTGACAGTGATTTATTCCACACTCGTGCTTCGCTGTGCCTGTCCAGGCCTCCCTTCCCAGCCAGGCTGAGGTCGTGCTGCCGGATCACATCACACAGCCGAGGACATTTATTGTAGGAGGGAGACCTCAGGTGACATTTTCGAGCAGAGAGAGAAGCCAAGTGTTGCTCACTGAAACCAGTTGCTGAGACACACTGGGGGAACCCGTGCTCCCGGTCCCGCAGCCCACGCTCCATCCGCCCGTGGCCTGGACCCGGTTCCACGCTCACACCCCCGCGGGATGCTGCCGGGGGCGGCGGGCCGGTGTCCGCCCCGCACCCCGTGCCTGCGGCAACCCCGAGCGGGATGGACCCAAACCGGGCTGTGGGGCTGCACCCCCGCCCCGCTGCGGGGCTGCCGTGTGCGGCGTTGCCGTGGGGCACCCCACGCTGCTCCCCGGCCTGCGAGGTTCCCTCCGCTCCTGCAGACCCACCGGAGGCGCCTCCCGGTGCCCCCGCGGTACCGCGCCTCGCGGCCGGGCTGCGCAGAGGCGGCGCGGGGAGCGGGCACCGCGGTGAGTGTACCCCCTTCAGGCGGGTACAGACCCTTCCCGCACCTGGTTCTCGCCGTGCCCGCTCCCCCCGGTGCCGCCCGGTGCCGCCCGGTCCCTCCCGCTCCTCCCGGTGCCGGCGCTGCGGGGCGGAGCCAGCGCTGAGGCCACGCCCCTTCCCGCCCTCCTCGCGCTCCCATTGGCTGAGGGCCGGCGCGGGGCGGGGCCGGCGCGGGCGGCGGCGGCGGCTCCCGCGCCCCCAGCGCCCGGCGCGGCCGCGGTGCCGGCCCCGGGATGTCGCGCAAGAAGGCGGCTCGCAGCAAGGGCGGCGGTGCCGCGCCCTCCGCCGCGCTGCCTCCCGCCGCACAGAGCTCCGGCCGAGCCGCCGCCGCTCCCCGGGGAAGCTCCGCCGCCGCCGCCGCCCCCGAGCTGCCCCGCAACTGCGGCGCGGCGGCGGCCGGGCGGCCCTCGCTGAGCAGCAGCGGGGAGTTCTACGACCTCGCCTTCAAGGTGCGGGACCGGGCAGGGCTGCGGGAGTGCGGGGTCAGGCGGGTGCCGGGTCGGATGTGGCGTTCCCGAAGTTCCCGGGGGCCAGGACCGGGCGAGCATCCCTTCATCCCTGCATCCCTGCTTGCCTGGATCCCTGCATCCCTTCATCCCTGCATCCCTTCATCCGTGCATCCCTGCTTGCCTGGATCCCTGCTCCCTCCGCAGCCGCCCGGTCGGGGTCTCGCTCGGCGGGGGCTGCTGCTGCGGGACTTGTGCAAGTGACGGCCAAAGGCTGCTCCGGGGAGTTGCCGTAACCTCCCGGGTCCTTGTTCACCTGCAGAAACCCGGGGCTGTGAGCAGGGTGGTGGCAGCCCTCGAGGGGCATGGAACGTGCTCGGGCTGCTGCTGAGATGTTCCCAGCCTTTGGGGCTCAGATGGCTTCTCCTCGCTGCTTCAGATCCTGGCAAGCGAGTCACAGAGCAAACAGATTTGCTTCCTCCCCACTTCATCATGCGACCTGACACAAGCGCAGCTTGGAGCTCATTTGATGATTTTAGGGCTCACGTAGCGATTTTGGGGCTCATTTAGTGATTTCTGCTGAGGCCACGAGTCGGTGAAACCCCTCTGTGTTTCTAACACGGATCTCGGTAGCCGAGCCCGGGGATTGAGCCTGGAGAACTCGGGTTTGCTGTGGCAAGTCCCACCTTGGTGTGTGGTGTTGGGAGCTCGGTGCCTGTGGCAGTCGTGGTGCTGAGGTTTGGGATGTGGGGTAGGAAATGCTGAGGTTTGGGATGTGGGGTAGGAGGTGCTGAGGTTTGGGATGTGGGGTAGGAGATGCTGAGGTTTGGGATGTGGGGTAGGAAATGCTGAGGTTTGGGATGTGGGGTAGGAGGTGCTGAGGTTTGGGATGTGGGGTAGGAGATGCTGAGGTTTGGGATGTGGGGTAGGAAATGCTGAGGTTTGGGATGTGGGGTAGGAGGTGCTGAGGTTTGGGATGTGGGGTAGGAGATGCTGAGGTTTGGGATGTGGGGTAGGAGGTGCTGAGGTTTGGGATGTGGGGTAGGAGGTGCTGAGGTTTGGGATGTGGGGTAGGAGGGGCTGAGGTTTGGGATGTGGGGTAGGAGGTGCTGAGGTTTGGGATGTGGGGTAGGAGATGCTGAGGTTTGGGATGTGGGGTAGGAGATGCTGAGGTTTGGGATGTGGGGTAGGAGGTGCTGAGGTTTGGGATGTGGGGTTGCAGAGGGACGTTCCAGAGATGTGTTTGGTTGCTTCAGTAGGTGGTTGGTCCTGATACAGCTGCATTAATGGTTCAACAGCTTCCCTAAAATGGAGCCACCTCTGTGTTTGCACTGGTCCTTGGCTCCTGGAGCTCACCTCTGCCTGCCCAGGCTGGGGCTGTCCCAAGGGATCGTCCCCATGGCACGAGGGTGAGCCAAATGGGTCTCAGATAAGCCCAAATGCACCGGGTAGGCAAAACATCTGCTAATGGTTTGGCTGATTTTGAACCGGTGGCAGACAGAAATTGCTTTGTATCCAGTAAAAACCTGGTTTATTAAACTTTCTCCTTCCCTTCCCTTCTCCTGAGGCTCCTGATCTCTGCCTGATGCAGTGGCACAGGGCTGGACCCTGGCCCTGGGCACTCTGCATGCCCTGGTGAGGCTTTGCTGGTGCTGAGTGGGGAGAAGCTGCTGTTGAGGGTCACCTATTCCAAACCAATACCAGGAAATTTTTTTTAAATCAGTATTTTGTACTAAAATGTCTTTTTTCCCCCCTTCCCTTGGCTTCACGCTGATACTCCCGTGGGCTCTGGCTGCCCTCACCCTGCTGTGCCAGGGCTCGGTGCCTGCTTCTCCTGTGGGACTCCAGCGTGCCAGGGCTCTCCTGGGGGTGTGGGGCACCTTGAGCAGGTCCTGCCCTCCTTGGCAGTGCCAAAACGAGCTGCACCTGCAGCCGGGGCTGAGCTGCACAGGGTGGGGTGGCATTTGCCACTTCTGGCAGCTCCTGGGAGGGTTCGGTGTGACCCAGGACGGTCCCTGCAGTAAAGCCATTGAAATCCTGTCACGGGTTAATGGCTCGTGGAAGGCTGATGGCAGAGAGGGAACCTGCCCCGGCAGGTGTGGAAGGAGCTGGCACAGCCTGGCTCCCTGGTCCCGGATTTCTCGGTGCCATCCCACCGAGGGGAGCAGGGTCAGTGCCCCGGGGGCCAGCGGGGTTCTCGGTGTGGGGAGAGGTTTTGGGGAGCTGCATTTGGGAGCAGCCTCTGCTCCGCCGTGGTTGCTTCGTGGCACGGAGCTGCCTGCCCTGTCTGTGCCCAGGGCGGCTGCTGGGTGGGGAAACTGAGGCAGGAGGCACCGGGAGCTGCTCTCTTGGCATCCATGGAGGACTGGGAGGGTCTCCATGGGCAGGTGTGGGTCCCACTGGAGGCGAGGGCAGGGTGCACCCCTGGAGCTGGCACTCATGGCTGGGAACCCCCTGAAGTCCCCCCGCGGGTGCTGAGGTGTTTTGTGGGTGTGCTGGGGCCACTCTCGGTTTTCAGGGGGTTTGTGCCCCCACGAGGGACCTGTAAGGTGCCTGTCAGGGGAAGGTGTCCCCAGCCTGGTGACACGGGTGGGGAATAATCCCCTTGTGGGTCTTCCCCAGCCTCCCCTGAGGGGACATTGCTCTTGGATGTGCTTCTTCCCCTCGAGCTCCCGCTGTGATGGAGCGGGGTGATGGCTGCAGTGGGGCTGCATTCCCAAAACCTGGAGCCTCACACCCCTCCCTGCCTCCCTCCCTCCCTGCAGGTGATGCTGGTGGGCGACTCGGGGGTCGGCAAGACCTGCTTGCTGGTGCGCTTCAAGGACGGCGCCTTCCTCGCCGGCAGCTTCATCTCCACGGTGGGAATCGACTTCAGGGTAAGTGCCTGGGGGGCTCCCTGGCCCTTCCCGGGGCTCTGGCAGGTGACTGATGGATTTTGCAGAGGAGTAACTAAATGTTGCTCCCAGGACTTAAACCTGGCCAGCCTCAGGGTGCTCGGGGTGTGACGGCAGCAGCAGCATCTTGGTTACAGCTTTGCACAGGGATGGAGGAGAGTGGCCTCTGCCCAGGATCCTGGGGATAATTCCTGTAACAACTGAGGCCTGACATCTGCCCATGAAAACATTTCCCTAAGGCAGTTTCGGTGTTTTTTAAGAGTTGTTCTTTTTCTTTTCTTGAAACAACAAAACTAAAACTGATCTAAACCAGAATGCCCTGGAAGAATCTCCTGAGCACAGCCTTGGGGTGCTGATGTGGGGATGTGTTGTGCTGAGGGATCTCTGAGGTCTCCCTGTGGTTGGGAGCAGCTGGAGCATCCCGATGCTGGGAGAGCCGCGGGGGCAGCGGTCGGAGCTGTGCAGCTCCAGTGAGGCCGGTGGGAAGCTGCTCCTCACAGGGAATAACGGGTGGAGTGCGGGGAAGAAAGGGAATCACGTCATGCCCTGCAATCCCCAGAGTGCCCAGAGCCTCCTTTGGCAGGCAGGAACATCTGAGTACATCCCGGGGCTGTGCCATCTCTCTCTGCGATGGGTTTGGCTCCGTTTGGGTGCTGTGAAGAGCTGCTGGTGATGCCACACACCAGTGTTGAGTCTTCCCAAGCGCCTTTTCCCAGCAGGATCTCGGAATTTCACTTTTCTTGGAGGGTTTCTGGGAGATGAGTGTCTCTTGTAACCTGCTGCTTGGCTGGGGTGTGAGTAATAACTGGTGCAGTGACATTGGGAAGGGGTGAAGGACAGCTCAGAAAGCCCGAAGGAAGGAAGGGATGTTCCATGCCGGGCAAGGCTGGGAGCTGCTGCAGGTGGAATGGGTAAATTGGGGCCTGTAATTTTATACAAAGGTAATTACACAGTGTTTCAGGTGTTCTTCAAATAAAAGCATTTTATTACTGATTGCAGTGATTGATAGAGAGGGCAGCCATAAAACCCTGTGACTTATTGATCAGAGCGCTGAAATGACTGTTACTGAGAAGCAATCAAATTAGGGTTAATCTACTTCTCTAATAGAGCTGCTAGATCTGCATGGCTCTGAAATGGGCAGATTATACAGTGGGGGAGATCATGTGTATGCCCTAAAACTCATTATTCCCATCCTTGTAAGGCATTCATAATTTTAGGGGGACATGGAAATAGTTTTTTGATGTGCCTCTCCGTTCCCACCAGGATAATCCTGTTTGGTAATCGTCCCTCTCGCCGTGCAGACGATGCTCTGGGGTGGCAACACCGGAGGCTTCTGCTGCTTTTAATTTGTGTCTTTTTGATCACGGGACTGTGGTATCACAGCTCCTGCTCTCTGCTCTCCGCAGTTTGGCAGGGCTTTGCTGGCTGAAGCAGGCGGGGCTGTTTGCGGTGGGAAGCGTCGCTGGGGTTTGCTGTGTTCTCTTGGTGCTCTGTGAGAGGTGCTGAGCGAGCACAGGGGGTTTCTTGTGGGGTTTTGGCAGGGTTTGTGCCGCACTCAGAGCCTCGCTGGCTCCAGGGAGCTCCCCAAGGCCGGCGCCTGTGGCAGCTGCGCTCCTGCGCACGCACGACCTTGTCTGGGCACTGCCGGGTCCCGTCCTGGCTCAGGAACCCACAGAGATGGAGCTGCCCAGCTCCTGACACTGTCCTGGGGACCATCTCCGCTCTTCCTGATGCCATCTGGTCCCTGCAAGTGTTCTGCCATGGGGTGGAGCCGTGCTGGGGGCACCAGCCCGGCTTCCCCCTCTCCCCATCCACTGGTGCCGGTGGGCTCCAGGATCCAGTGCTCATTTTCAGGGATGTCAAAACATTGGATGCATCCAAGCTATGGCTAATGGATTACATAGGCCAGAGCAGATGTAAATGAATAGAAATCCATTTGAAATTAATCTGGCATTACTATTCCTAATGGCCCCTGAGGTTTGTTCCCTCCTACTGTTTTATGTGAGGGAGAACCTCCCGCGACGTGTTTGTTTATTATCATGTCTTAAACAAAGAAGGATGTTGATCTGAATGTGTTTGGAAAACAAAGCACTGATGCTGGGGAAATAAAGGTGATTGTAATTCTACAAAAGGCATCAAAATGGCACCTGTTGGCTTTGAGCTTTGGAGGTGCTGAGTCCTCAGTGTTCTGTCCCAGGAAAATTTGGTTTGCTGGGGGAGCATCTTTATCTCCTGGGGATAATTCCAGCTTTCCCAGTTCAGGACAGGGCCAGGGTGTCCCCGAGCTGAGGGTTTGGGTGGGGGTGCAGTGCTGGGTGAGGGGTCCTGCTCCTGGCAGAGCAGAACCCTGCCCGAGCTCCTGAGCTGCTCCCCCCAGGCTGGGGGACAAACCCCGCTCTGCCTTCAGCGTCTGCGTCACAGGTGTCACCTTCAAGGTTTCATTGCTAGACCACGATTCACGAGTGCCCTCCCTGAGCTGTGCCCAGGGCTTGTCTGGCAGGTGCCTCTGCCTGGGGGGGTCTCTCCCCGCAGGTCCCCACAGGTGAGGGCAGAGCAGCTCTCTGGGCAGCCCGTGGGTGCTGTCCTGACTTCACACATTCGCGTTTTGGGGAGAAGGGGCTCCTGGAAAAGAGCAGGGTTAGTGCTCAGGGGTGTGAATCCCGATTTTCTCAGTGCCATGGAAGGAGCTGCCTCTTCTTGTAATTTTGGCAAGGCTGCAGAAACCTCGACAGAAATTCAAGCTGTGCAGCCAGTGGGACTTGTGTCCTGTCGTGACAGCTGAGTGATGGGAGGGGAAGCAGAGAAGCCAAAGGGCCACGTGGAGCCACTGTGTCCCTGTCCCCAGTGACACCAGGCTCCCTGGGGCTGCCCAGCCCGGTCCTCCCAGCCCTGAGCTCTGCAGGGCTGGGCAAGGGAAGATTTTTGTACTAATTGGACCTGAAAGGAGAAGAACCATAAATAAAAAAAATTAAGGATGAGCCTTTTTCTCCCTGGGAAGTGCTAATGAGCTTCTTTGCATTAGCAGGGGTGATGGCTCCTGTGTTAATCAGGGGGATGGAACTTTCTGGCAGAGTTCAGAGCAGGGTGGCATCTCCTGGTTCACTGTGGGTGTGCAGTGGTGTCTCCTCTGCTGCTGCCCCAGCAAGAGGAGCTCAGCAGCTTCGTGCTGGGGCAGGATGGAGAGGAGGAGCAGGAGGGAGCCAGCCCTGGTGCCTCAGCGCAGCTCCGGGCTGGCAGGGCAGGCCGTGGGCATATTTCCTCTGGGAAAAAGGGGATATTTCCTTTGAAGGCTCAGCTTTGATGTGCACAGGTTTGCTCCACTGAGGGTTCAGCTGCTCCCCAGCACAGCCCCCTCGGGAGGCTCCGTGCTTTGCTCCAGCCTTGGCTGTGCCGTGGTTAATCTGGGACAGCTCCGTGCTGTAAACACAACCTGTCACCGCTGGCCCTGAGCTCTGAGGACTCCTGATTACCCTCAGCCCCGTGCTGCTCAGGGCTGGAATCGCCGCTGTGTATTGTGGTTTTTCTACATGGGAGATTTGTTGTATCTCTGCTTATTTTTTGTTGTGTTTGTGTTTGTGTGCACCTTCCGTGGGCTGCCCCCGGCTCCTGCAGTGAGCTGAGCTGTGCAGGAGGATGGAAACCTTTGCTCCAGCCCTGCAGGGTGTGCAGAGGAGCAGTTGGATTCACCCAGGCTGGTCCTGGGTGTGCATGTCCTGGGAGAGGGGTGTGGATGCCCTGAGCATCTGTAGGTCCCCAGTGGGCACCCACATCCCTGTTCGTGGGGCGATGCTCTGGTCCCCAGCAGGTGCCCTCATCCCTGCCCTCACCCCATCCCTCATCCCATCCTTCATCCCAGCCCTCCCAGCCTTTTCCTGGAGGACCAACCCTCCTTTGAAGGGCTGGAGCAACCTGGAGCCTCCTGGGCTGGTTTTTATCTCAGTGGTTGGCACAGAGCATTAGCAGGGCTCATTTTCTGATGGATCAATCTGGAAAAAGTGGGAGGGGAGCTGCTTCTTAGGCCGGAAGAAAGAAATGGAAATAAATTAATTTCAGCATCTTTCTGTGCAAAATTAGCTCTGGATGTTGGAAGGAAGGAACTCAGGCACTGGGCAGAGTGTTTAGTCTCTCCTTTGCTGTGTGGGGTCAGGATGGGGGTTTGCTGCAGGGGGTGGGTTTAGGTTGGTCTCCAGGACAGGGGCTCTGGAGGGAAGTGTTTTTTTCCTGGGAGAAACATCTTGGTGCTGCCAAGTTTCTTGGACCAAATTCTCCTTCATGGGGCCGTGCCAGTGGCAACAGAGCTGCAACCAGGATGGGGAAGGTGGGGCAGGAGCGGGCAGGGATGCCTGTGCTCCCACCTTGAGTATGCCCATGGCAAGTGCTTGGAACTGGATGACCTTTAAGGTCCCTTCCAACCCAAACCATTCCGTGTTTCTGTGTTTCCAGCAGCTCTTTTGTCTGAAAATCAGTTTGTTCTGCAGCTCCCATTGCTGGATGAATTTTAATAGCAGCCAGTAGCTGATTTCATATTTTTGCATTTCTCACTCCATGGAGAGCTGAGCTCAGTTTGCCCAGAGCAGATTTCCATCCCTGCAAGTGTTCAAGAACAAGCTGGATGGGATTTGGAGCAACCTGCTCTAGTGGAAGGTGTCCCTGCCCTTGGCAGGAGGTTGGACCTGGATGGTGTTTGAGATCCCTTCCAACCAAACCATTCCAGGAGTCTCTGATGATTCCTGCCATGCTCCCATCCCTTCTGGCTGCTTCCAGGGTACGGACACGATGCTGTCACCGGTGCTGTCAGGGCCAGCTCTGCCCAAATCCAGCAGGGGAGGCAGATCCTGGCAGTCTGGCCCAGGGAGGGCAGCACAGCTCAGCTGGGACACGCTGGGATCGTAGCCCTTGATGTGACTCCGAGGGCCGGTGCCTGTTCCCCTCTCCCAGGATGGGCTCTTGGGGCAGTAAATATCCATTTCCCATGGGAAGCC